CACGCGGTGGAAACCCTGCAGGGAAGGAACGGGGACAAAGATGACAATAGCCTTCTTGCCGTGGCCGACTTCAATCTATACGCGATCAAAAATCAGCATGCGAGCTCCAAGTGATTCCCTTCCGTAAAGAAGAAGAAACAATGGACCGCAACCCGTCCGATTCCACAACCGACTCGGCGCATGTATACGTGTATGTAACACCGTCGACATCCACAACATATTATATCGCTCTGGTTCTCAGCTGTGATGTAGCATGTATGTCTGCCGACGTCGCCTCGTCGTTGCTCATTCGTGTAGGCTGCGTGCCATTCTCTTTTTTCCCTGGATTGGGATCGGATTAGTTCAGAAGCTCACCTCTCGTGCGGAAACGAATTGAAGGGGTCGCAGTGCGGCCTTCAGGTCGGAGGTGTTGGTCTCGAGGTCATAGAGAGCGCCAGCGATGCTGGTCTCGAGCTCGGATGGCTTTTGACGGGATGGGCTCGTGGCCGCGATCTTGTTGAGGGCACTCATTTTGTCGTTGTCGTGGAGAGGGAAGTTCGAGATTTCGCGAAAAGATGAATTTGGTGGAGTGTGGATGTACGATCGCTAAAGAGTCCAATAAAACGAAGACAGCGGGGCGTAGTGTCACGTGACAATGTCCCATCAAATCTTTTGTGTGGAGAGGAATATCAATACTGGGGCAGAACGCATGAAGGGTGTTCAAAAAGGCTGATAATATGGCATTTGGTAAATAACACACTTCTGTCATTGCACCCAAGTGTTTCTTGGCAATTTCTCATCAAGTTTACCCACCAAGGCCACACGAATCAATCACTTAGAATCGGCTTGTCCACAACCTGTCATTAATGCCCACAAGTAGGCTCATTAAGTAGTAAGGGAACCTCCCAATGCACGCTAAAAGACTTCCGATCATTATGCTTCCAGCGCTGGTCATGATTATTCCTGATACGTCAACCACATTCCTCGACAAACACGAACCGGGTATCGATTGCCCTTCAGTCTCTCCTGAATTGCTTCATTCATCTAAAGCGCCATTTACGCCTTCAAACGTTGTACATAGCGCCCTCAACTCTCCAGCTTCTCGATGCCCGGGATATTCATGCCGAAATCCATGATCAGGATTTTGGGATCTTGTCCGGTACTGATAATACGTCGATAGTCCGACTTGGCTCCGAGAACCCAGCTCGTGTGCCATTTCGGGAAATCCAGAAGAAGTGAGCCAGTATTCATGTCGAAAACCTTGATATCTTGATCATAGCTCCCAGAGACTAGTCTTCCACTTATCGAGTCAATATGTAAAGATCGAACCAGATTATCGTGAGCAGCGATACTCCGCAAACATAACCCAGTATTAGCGTCCCAGATGCGAATAATTTTGTCGTTGCCCGCAGAAGCTATGAACCTCGAATCGTCGGAAAATTGGCTGCAAGCAAGACCTTTAGTGTGGCCAGCAAGTTCCTTGATATTCTTGCCAGTATCGATGTTCCACAGTTTGACCTTGAAATCTCCACTGCAACTAACAATGGTATTTCCTCTCATCTGTACAGCATTGACAGGTCCAGAGTGTCCTCGGAGTTGCTTCAACATCACACCCGTCTCTCGGTCCCATACGCAGATGGTTACGTCTTTGGAGCACGTGACAATATAGCGCTCGTCGAATGCAAGGTCAAGCACGGCCGCCGTGTGGTGTTGAAGTCTGCGGATGGGTCTATAATTGTCCTTGATATCGTAGACAATGCACGTGCTATCTGACGAGCCAGTAACCAGGATTTCTTTGTCGTACTGGAGACACAATATCGACTGATTGTGGTAAATCGAATATGAGACCGTCTTTGGGGTGGACTCCCCTGCTCTTTCGGATTCAGGTACGGTAGCATAGTGCGCCAGCATGCCATCTTCTCCAGTCAAAATATCTGGATTTTTGACCACTTCTGGAGGTCCAATCACCAGGCGACATTGGTAGGTTCTCATATCCCAGATTCTGATAGTCCTGTCTCGAGAGCCCGTAACGATCTTATTCCTAGGAAAATGTTAGCACTCAACATTTTGTTCCAATGGTGGTCGTCCTTACTCGTCAAACTGCACGCAGTAAATGCTGTCCGTATGTCCATGCAGATATACAGCCTCGGCAGCTCCAGAAACCCAATTTTGACGGAGGTTTTCTCGTATCCGGTACAGCTCCTTCCAATCAGAAACCTTAGATGGCAGTCCAAGACCAGCTCCAAGAGGCACAGGTTTACTAGTTGCATATGCCTTTGTCTGATCGCGCAAGAACATAGTTCTCCAGATGTCGTCCGTCATGCTGACCATGTGCCACCTCTTCGAGACCAACCCAGCATTTCGAAGGGTTTCTTGGTTTACATGCTTGAGAATCTGGATTCCAAGCTCTGCTGGTAGAGCTCCGATGAAATCGACGCGACTGATACCATTGCTCGAGACATCCTCCGCTGACCCCACGATATTGGGAGGTGAAACCGCTATTCCAATTCCACTCTCTCGATCTCCCATATGGTCGTCGGCCATAAGATGATGGCGGTTCCTACCAAAATATTCATTCTGGGCTGCTGCAGTTGCTCGCGCCGCGGCGCCTCCAGAACCATGAGGTATTATGGGGGGTGCGCTTCCACTGCCCGGGATGGGCGAGAGCAATTCTTCATGTGAATCGAACGGGCCCTCGTTGTCGAAACTCATTGGCATAAATCTTGAGTGTCTGTGAAAACTGGTGACTGTCCTGAGCTTTCCCCATGCAGTCTGCGGACGCTCTGCAGAGGTTACTACATGAGAGTGTCGGCGCTTTCTGGTCCTGAGAGATACTGAAGCTTTCCTAAAGAGCCCGCGAAGCCCTCCCTGCTTCTTCTCGTCGATTTCGAGATCTTCATTGCGATCTAGAGATAGCCCCTGCAGCCCACTCGCCAGGTCGTCATCTTGTGGAACAAGAGGCATCGATTGAAGACGCCTCCTGAAGGGTGTCATAGGATTCGTGGCGCCATGGGAGTCAAGCGTTGTGCGGTAGGAATTAGTAGATGCTCGAGATTCTTGAGCAGGTGCCCATTCTTCGATTGGAAAGACTCGGGTCATGGCGAAGGCTGGAAGAGAACTCTACTGAGGAGCTCCGTATTCCTCGCAGGCTATTCAACGGCTTGTAAACCACTTTAAGGGCAGTTAGAGGGCAAAATCAGCGCAGTTGACGCGACAGTCCCGACGAGCGCATTGGCAGGAATGGTCGTGCTCGTGATGGAGGAATGCGGCGTAGCGAAGGATTTCATGCGTTCTGGCGTGAATAATGTATCGGCAGGTAATTCGATGTTTGCAGGAGTCGAGTAAGGAATGTGGTGAATGGGATAAGAGAAGAGAGACGGCCGTTGAAGATCAAGGAGCAGATGGGAGTTGGGACTGGGGTTGGGTTGTTTACACACCAACGGTCGGAGGGCGGCCAAAATTGGAAACGTCTGAACGGGAAGGCAGAGAGGCCAGCAGGAGGCAAGGGCAAGGGCAAAGGCAAATCAAGCCTCGCTCGCAAATTGGCCACCCAGCGCACCCAACATCTGTGGTTTGTGGTTCCGCTACGCGTCGCCTAGGGTCCTGGCAACGGCGAATAATCCGGGGGCTTCCAGCTGAGAAGGCTGAAGACTTTTCGCCGAACAGTGAAGAAGGTGCACTGTGTTGCACCGCGTCCAACAGAAGCTGGCTCACTCAGGGGCCGGCCAAGCCGGGAAAACGCTTTGCTTGGGTCCCAACGTTGACGAGTAACGAGTGACGAGCAGGTCCGCGATTCAGCGTTGCAGCGATCTGCACTGTGTCCTGCGATTCAGGAGCAGGAGCTCTTTCATTCAGTGATTGTCTCCAGCCTGCAACTGGTGCATCCTGCAGCACAGCACAACGGCCTGCCCCAATTAGAACCAGGAAGAATCTTTTGCGCTGTGGCGCATGAAATAGGCTTTCATTACAATCCCAGCTGATGATCAGGAACACCAGGGATTGCGCGTTTCAACCCTCAGCCAACTTCAAGCCGAGGAAGTTGGGGTACCGACGAACCTGAGAACCTCAAACCCAGCTTCATCAGCCTTAACAGTCTGCATCATCCAAGCAGTAAGGGGTATCGAATTCTTCACCACTGTTGGCCGACAACCTCTTCACGGCATTACACACCCCGCTCTGCAGCAACCTGACGGGCCAGCCCCTCCTCCAAGCAACCATGACATCTCCAGCTTTCACTCTCCCCAGGTTCTACACCGCTTTTTTCCTTGTCATAGAACCTATATCGGCACTCATCGGGGCATTCTTTGCACATTTTCGACAGCTGGACTATTTGCGGATGACGCATGCTGCCTCTGCGCCTTCATACGCCAGCACGATACCCCTTTCCACGTCAGTGGTCCTGTCTCAGTTGGCAAATCTATACTTTCTCTTCACACTCAATGAAGCTCTAGTCCTACGCTCAACATCCGACCTCAGAGTTTGGAAAACAGTGTTGTTTGGATTGTTAGTGGCAGACTTTGGGCATCTGTACAGCATTAAAGAGCTAGGACATGAGGTTTACTGGAACGTGTTGAAATGGAACGCAATGGATTGGGGGAACGTCGCATTTGTGTATGCTGGGGCTACTGCGAGGATAATGTTCTTGGCTGGGGTCGGATTGAATACGGAAAGCGGGAGGAAGGCTGCTGAGAGGGCTACGGCAAAGAAGACCAAGTGATGTGTATGTATATGAGTTCATTCTGCAGAAGCTTGCAGTGTATAAATACCTCGAGCTATTCGGCTTGGGTTCTTATAGAAAACAATATTCTTCGCAGTCTTCCGTTTTTTCTTCCATCTATTCCACATTACCTTCCCATGTATTCATTGTTAGCAACACTATTTTGCTCCGGAAAGGGGCTCGGGTTCTGGTCCGCGAAGACGACTTGGGATATTCCTTCTGATCCTTCGTTCCTTCCCGTTTCGAGGACAAATGAGCATGAACTTTATCATTCAGAATAAGAACATTTTGTGCAATTCAGAAAGGAGTGATGGCTTAATGGTAAAGCGTACAGTTTATATTTCAGGTGTCACCCCCAGATTCTTGTACCCTGCGGTGCGAGGCGTCGTCGAGGGGCATCTGAGGCTAAAAACCACCGTGAGATGCTGGTTCAAGTCCAGTCTACTCCAAATCTTATTTTTTGCGGTTCTTATTCTTTTGGGGTCTGTATCGATGGATGCCTTGGGCTCTAATGTGAATTTAATCGTTCCAGTTTTTTTTGTAGTTGTTGTTGCTTCTTCTAATTCTATCTTTGTGGACCTAGACGGACATATTTTTGGTCTCTTCTATAGTCGGGACCTCACTGCTACGAATATTTTACAGGCTCGAAGCTCTTAAACAATCGAATAATAACCTCCGAGTTCAGAGAAGAAGGCAATACTCCTAACATAGGACATTGGATATCGATGCTCTCTTTCTACCCACGCCCAGGCCCCGTCGACTCGAGCTAACTTGCAACTTACCCAATACATTCTGATACAGGATTTAAACATTGGCTAGCCCGACTATTGAACCTTCGTTGCCAAGTTCTGCAGCTTGGTGATTAGATGAGCTGGGATTGTCTTAAGCGGATCTAATTCAACTCGCCCGCAACCCCTCCCCCGACCCTTCTTCGTGTGACTGGCTCTGCTATGTAGCACTGCATAATAGAATGAACTTCTAAGATCCGAAGAAAATTATATGGGCCGCGTCTTATTCCGTCAGCGAGTTCTGCGCAGTTACATTTTGATCTGCGTTAGGCTTTGCAATATTTTGCTTTGCATCGCTCCAAATAGTATTCTGTTATCTTCTCTCTATGATAGGAATGTTCTTTATTCGAAAGGATTTACTACAAGGAAAGTCGAGAAGGAAATCCAGAGGAACCTGGAAGAAAGTTAAGTGGGCCTTGGGCTTTGCTGCCTTGCTGCCTGAACCCCCTTTTTATCATCGCTCAACGTCATGTTTACTTCCGAATTTCGGCTGAATCTCAACAGATCGTGAAATTGCTCAAGTAGAAGGTACGCGAGTTGTTTGTTTAATTATGCTGATCCTTGGGCACGACTTTAAAGTCAGCAGTCATCGGGTTTCGAAGTTCCTCTCGTTGTCCTGGTCTGAGAACTTCGAAGGTCGTTGGACTCGTTCCGGCGTGCTGAAATGATGCACAAGAATTACACTGATCGCAGTGGTAACACGTAGCGGTGGCATATCATTCATCAAAGGCTGAACAGGGGCAATTTGAATAAAAATTGACCGCCAGTGTAGAGGATGCGTTTCGAAAGGCATCGATATATTCCTTAGCGACACCGCAATCACTTCAAAGTGTCTGTCGATTGCCTTCCATATTAGCAAGATTTGTTGGACTTCACGTTTCCTTATCATTGGACGCTCGCCTGAGATAAGGCGTTGTCTCGCTAAACCTCGCCGTCGCCAAATTATTTGCAGATATAAAGCTTCACAAAAACGTGCAAAATTTGGAAATTCACTACCATAGCACCCCAAAGCACCCCAAAGCACGGTAGAGACTTTGAATTGTTTGTCAAAATTAAATTTTAAGTGAATACAGAGACTGAGACCGGCAAAACTATAGAATTGTGCTGCCAACACACCACTGCCAGTAAGACTGGACAACCCAACCGTGGCTCTCTATTTATTATATTAGCTTATGATCATTGACAAGGAGGGGGGATATTAGGTTATACTCACATATTAAATATGGCGTACTTCATCTGCTGAGGCGTGACCATACGTGGGTGCATCGGTAATTACGCACTTCAGCATTGACGAAAAAGCCATTAATTGAATACATAAGCCCCATCGAGAAAGTTTAGCTTACCGCCCACGTGAATGGAGGCAGAATTGATGGGATGAAAGGGTATGGAGGACTCACCTTGGCTCGCAAGCGACAACGAGGCCAGCAAGGCTGAGGGAGGGGCAAAGGTGACCTCCAACGCCAAGCGATCTACACGAGAGCTTCTCACCTTGACTTCCGAGACGTGAATGAGCTTCCCATCAACTTTGTTCCGCTTTGCGTCCTACAATTTCCGTTTTTAGATGAAGTGTTTGAAGCCATGTTCGAGAACGATTGTGCACGTTGCGCGGTGTGACACTGGATAGGGTGGTCTTGAAGACAGATCGATGTTTGACTTGAGTCAACTCACCAGGCTGTCCAAAGGCTGAGATTTATATCTCTAGAAGTGTTGCTAGAAATGGATCGTGCTCTGCTCTGCGGTGTTCGAAGGGGTGCTGCTGGTTGAGGAACAGATCCCAGACCGAAGACGTCCATGCCGTTTCTCGAGAGATAAAACCCGCCCACAAGTTTCCAGTTCACTGATGGAAAGGAGGGGTATTAAGTCAGTCTGTCAGGGAGCGAATATTGAAGATCTATATGCTGTATTGAAGGCGGATGGAATAGAGGCAGGGGTGCGACAGATCGTGAAGCCGGCTTGCTCGACGGAAGATTTTGCTCTTGGAGTCGAAGTATCTCGGTGTTTACGCAATAAACGGAATGAAGCTTTTACTGGAACTGACATTGTTTTTAAATCGATCTCTTCAACGCCTGAGGAGCCCAAGCGAGAGAAGAGGTTACGACTTGAACGTGGGAAGCGCAGAAGCACGGTGTTGATTTAAGACTTATCTAGTTGACTTCGAGTAGAGACCTTGAGTTCCCGGTAGTGAATCTCTTCAATTGTATGACTCCTTGTCATATTTACTTGTCTTACACTCACAGTTGAATTTCCCGCTTTTCCTCCTTTGACTCTTAAAACAAAACCTAGGAAAAAATTTCCTTGCACATTGTCTAGCTTTGCACACAGATATCAGAATCTCGTTTATCTCTTGTAGCCCAAGGATCAGGCTTGTTGCTTTTCCTGATGGAAGTATAAATTTGGGGGCAGATACTCGAAATTTATAGAGAAAAGTGATAGATATCTTAGACTTATTGTAGATGACATTTGCCAATATTCTCAAAAGAAGCCATAAACTTACGCGCATTGCCATCATAACGCAATTCGCTCTTTGGTGACTTGCTACATATCTTTGTGAGTTTGACTCTGCTTACTTTAGTTCTCATTTCCGTGATTTTCCGGCAGCTGCACCGGGCTTTCCAACTCAGAGATGTGGCGGGTGGTACTTGAATATTAAGATTATTGCCAACATCTAAATATCGCAGTCTATTACCTGTACTCTTATATTAGTACAAGCTCTTCTAGGTTTCTACGCTGCCCAAATTTATTGCTTTCAGCTGCGTTAGCCGCATTTAGACACTTTTTAGATAAAAAAGCTAAAGTAAATCTCAGAAGTACACATTTCTCCCTTGAGCATAGACTCTTCCGAAGCAATATTTCAGTACTTTGATCAGAAATCTCCTCCTCCGGACCAATAGTTCGTCCTTTTGTCATCCGTTCTATCTACATAGAGAAACTTTGCGGCACGGCTCTCCAAGAGCGGCTTCGCAATATCTCGTTTTTGCTCCCAAGCCAAGACCTATTCTAGTGGAATTGAAGAATGAGTATAGAGAAAACCAGCAACGATCCTTTCCTCTGAAGCTTCGTATGACTCGTTGTTAACATTTAAACCTGGAGCCTGTCCCTATTATATCGCAGATGACGTGTACACGTGAGTTGCTTGTTGCCTAAAAAATATGCAACTTACCTACGTACCTCCAACGGAGGATTTGATGTAGTGCTGTGCTATGAGAGATGCTCGCAGCTGCAGAACGGGAGCTTGCTTGAGACAAAGAACCTAGCAGAGATCAAAGCTGTAAAATCATAATGACCTGTTGACATCATCTGGAGATATTAGGCTAATGTCCAAAATCTACTTAATTTCTCTTTGGCTTCTTAGCAACGGGTTTATCCACAACATCGCTAGCTTCTACTAAGCCTCTAAACTGATCAGTACACTTTTTGAGAAGCTCTAAAGTTAGCCAAAAGCAAGCCGTAAGCTTCATCTATCCTACAACGCTAGTAGTGGCTAATACTGAAGTGCCATTGGACTGGCTTCTAGCGTTCCCAAAGTTGCAATTTTGTCCCGAGCAAAGCTAGAATGAAGCGAATAGGTGCGCATTAGGGAGAGCAGGGATTTTTTTTTCCTGCCTTCCTCGTTCGTTCAGTTGGCTTGCCTATTGAATCAGCCACTTTCCAAACAAGAGTTCACTATCGTCAAGTCCGCCAAAAAAAAGTCTGTCTTTTCAAATGGACTTAGATTTATGGTTTTTACACAAAGCTACCTTATCTCAAGAAGGTATATCCACTATAGATTGCAGAAGGTTCCTGGTAGTTCTTTGGCATCACTATACTTTCACCTCTTTTTTGTCGAAGTTTTAATGCTTAGCTTTCCTCGCAGCTGTAACATCCAAGTTTCATCGCAGCCCTATCTATTCCCTTCATCGTGGGGCACTGGCCATTGTTGATCTCTCATCGAATTTCTAATTGCTAACTTTCGACGTAGCTTTCACACCCTGCTTTCGTCTCAAACCCCGCTCTCATGAAAGGTGTGTCACCTCCCTCCCATCTCCCTATCACTTTGTACATCCACTCCCTCACATTATGTCCACCTTTCCTCTTAAAGTTTTGGGCAAGGCTTAGTTAATTCCTCGTCCCCCTTCTTTAAACTTTTGTTAGTTTTTGTACCTTATATTGAATCACCCGTGATTATGTAACTCTACCTCCTTTCCCTCTCTACTCTAACACTTAGCTACCTTACCTATTCGCATTAGCTTCCACTTGCCTTTGAACTCCTTCTCAAATTCTGCCACTAAATTAGCTGCCTTAACTATCCATACTTCCCTCTATCTCTCCTCAAAATCCCCCCAAGCATTGGCCAAGAACCTAGCTCCCTCACCTATCTAGGCTTTGCTCCACATCTCTTCAGGCTCATCCTGAAATTCGTTAAGCCAAGCCATGATTCTTTTTATTCTTGTGTATTTCTTACATTCCTTCCAGTCATGCACTTTGCTTTTGATAGTGCATACACGGGTAAGTGTCCGCACTTCCCTTCTTTCCTCTTGATATCCATTTATCATAAACCTTTCTTCTCCTAGTCGGGCTAGCATATTAAGATTCCTTTGGCTATTCAACACTCATTCGCCTGCCTTACTCACATAGCTCCAGCTTTACATCTCTCTTTCCATATTATCTAAAGGGGTAAGTTG